TAGGCCCACGAGGCTCTCAAACTAGAAGGGACGTCAGAGGCCAGCTACTCTGACACCCTCATTTTACAGATGAGGAAACTGAGGCCCAAGGAGGTTCAGTAATTTACCAACAGGGACACACTGGAACCCAGGTCCTTTGACTCCAGAGTTCGTGTCTTTCCACTGTACTGTTTATAAAACAGAGGATTTGCCAGTTTCATAGTTAACATTTGACAACACCCCAAAATAGGGTGTTACGGAAAGAGCGCTGGACGTGGAGTCATAAGGCTTAGATTCAAGTGCTGGCTCTGCTATTTCCTGCCTTGTTACCTTGGGTAAGCTGCTTTGTCTCCCTGGACCCCAGTACTGCAGACTCCTGCATGAGCTCCTGTGTCCAACTCTGCCCAGAGCTTCCTGACTAGATGTTAGATTATTAGATTGCTTTCCAATGAGCTTCCCAGTTGTGTTTGTGCTCAGTGAGCAACTGATACAATGGCATCCCCTGGGAATTAGCATTTTAGGCAAGCCCAGGTGAAGGTCCACATTAAAAAAAAAGACCCAAACTTGGGGAAAATGGGGGACATGTGTCTGTGATTCTGACAAGTCAACAGTCAGGTTACGAACATTTTTAAACTGCTTACTATGTGCCATGCACTGTGCTACACATGCTGGGGACACAAATAGTAGCGAAAAGAGAGTCCTTACCCTCAAGGAGATTATATTCCAATGAGGGAAAATAGCACAGAAATGGAACCTCTGAGAGAAATTCATCCAGAGGAGAAAGGGATTTCAAGGATAAAGGGTGAGAAGCATGGTGACAAAGTTCAGAGTCAGAAGCAGAGCCAGGAGAAGAAACATGGGGTGAGTGGGGTGTCTGGTGTCCATATGAGTAAAAAAAAAAGATTCTGGTTCCCAAACCAGCCAGAAGACAGGCATCTCCTGTCCCCTTGGTAGTCAGAGATTTGTCCCTGACTTCACTGAACTAGATCTCTGCGTGAGGAATTGGTTGTCTCTGTGCTTCCAAATTTCACTATCTTTTTACTCTATATTCACTATTTTCCATTTTTCACTGTCTTTATCTCCAACTCAGCTTTTTCCCAAGAATCTCTGTGTTCTGATTCAAGAGACACAGGCCCTCCATTCTGTCCTTCTCCCCCAACTAGTCTTTATTGTGCACTGGGGTGAGTATCTGTGAGCTAGGACGCACCCCGAGAGGACTCATTATATTTTATGATGCTGTCTCTCTCTTTCTGGGGCTTAGATGATCCCTCATTAAGAACCTGTTGCTTCCCTGTGGTGTCTGGTTCCTGCTGTTCCTGAAGAGGAATCTCCCTTTAAGAGCATGTATCCTGATTATGTATATGTGGACATGTATATGCATGTTGGCTGTGAGGGTAGCTATCCCCCAAAGCTCTATCCTGAGCTCTCATCTCTCCATATATTCTCTCACTTGGTGACCTCATCAGCTCCCATGAGTTTAATTATCAGCTCTAGGCAGATGACGTAAAGAGGCATATATCTAGCCCCAGTTTCTCTACCTAGACTCTTTTCTCACATAACCAACTGCATAGTAGACATTTCAAACCCTAGAAGTCTCTGACTTACGTATGCGAAAACTTGTATCTCCCTGCCCCACCTCTTCCACTTTTCCAAACTTTCCTATTTATGGCAAGGGTACTAACATCCTTCTAAGCACTCAGGTTTACAACCTCATCATTGTCCTCAGCTCCTCACTCTCCCACATCCCACATAGTCAATAATCACCTGCCAAGCCTTAGCAATTGTATCTCCACAACTCTTAAATCCATCCCCTTCTTTCTACTCACATGGCCACCACTCTAGATACTCAACACCTCTCGCCTGGACTATTTCATTAGCCTCCTAACTGATCTCCCTGTCTCCAGTATCTGCTTTCCCTAATCTATTTTCCCCACAGCTACCAAAGTGATTCTCTTCTAGCATAGATCTGACCATGTTATTCCCAGTCTCAAAAAATTCCAGTATTTTCCTATTACTCCCAAGTATGAAATATAAACTCTTCTGTTTTGCATTTAAATTTCTTTTTTAAAAATTTATTTATTTTTAATTTATGGAATAAAATAAACATTTCTATAACATAATATAATAAAAAGATGATTGCACTGAAACTACAAATCTATTATATACAACTTGCTATTCCTTTTAAATATATAATAAAGTGATCATGTAAATTTCCCTTTTTTCTTTGTCCTTTTTTTTCCCTCCTTCCCCCTCCCCCCATGCCCTAGAGATGGCTACCATTAGACACAAATATGTACAAATGTAAAATCATTCTCCACATACTTCTATTTTGAAACAACTTTTGGACCTGACCATAACCTACCTTTCCATCCTTATTATATTTCCATCCCTTCATGCACTCTATGATCCAGACAAATCGGTCTTCTGGCTGTTCCTCGCCTATGACATTCCATCTCCCACCTCAGTGACTTTGCACTGGCTGTATCCTATGCACAACATGCACTCTGTCCTCACTTCTGCCTCTTAGAATCTCTGGTCTCTTTCAAAATTCAGTTCATGAAATCTTTCTGTATTAGCCCTCACCAGCCTCACCAGCACCTAGTGCTTTCTCCTCAAAATTACCTTGAATTTATCTATTTTTGTATGTGCTTTTATGTGCTCATGTTGTTTCTGATAGAATGTAAGCCTTTTGAGGTCAGGGATTCTATCACTCCTGTCTGTCATTGCACTTCAAACATTACCTAGCATTTCTAAGTGCTTAAGAAATCTTTGTACTTAATTGACAAATTAGCTGACTGTAAACAGAATTACACTGTGCCACATAGCTGAGAGCCTGAAGGTCCTTCCTCTGACACTGCGGGGCCAGAGATTTTCCTGCAGACTGGTGAGCAAGAGAGTGCTAAAGATGAGAATGCCCAGTTTCTCCCTACTTTGATGGGATTTTCATTTAAAAGCTAGTGAGTTCGATGTTATTTCTCAGGAAGTAAACTGTTCTGTCTTCATGCAAATATTGATGTAGTTCTGTCCATGAGTACCTGTTTACCAAGATCAAAGTGTTTCTTATAACTGCCTATGCTGCCTCTAAAAGAAAACACTTATTACCTGGTGTCTTTAGCAAGAAATTTGTTTTTCTGGTTGCCTATTGTGGGTAGGACCTAGCTGAGGACTGCATTGAACACCAGAAACACAAAGTGGACACTTGGACTCTAGAATGGCAAAGCTGGAAGTGACCTAAGCATTCAGTTAGGCCAATCCCTTCATTTTGCAGCAGAGGAAACTGAAGCCCAGGAAGGGAAGGGGATGAATTTTCCTGCTGTCACATCCCTGAGTGGCAGAGCTGGGAACTGAACCTTACTATTCCCAAGGTAGTATTCTTTCTGCTGTATTATGATGATAGAATTATTGGAGACCAGGGGTTAGGGGACTTCTGTCTAAATTGAACACGTCTTTCCATTTGACTCGCCTGGAGAGCTAAGAATGGATGTGTTCTCTGGCCGTCTTCTGTTCTTGGGCACCCATAACTCCCCTGCCCCTCTCAATTGCTTCCTATGAGTTTGAGGAACATGTTGGCTGATAACATTTTAATGACAGAAAATAGATAACAAACATCTAGGGATTTGTTCCAACTGCTCTGGCTTCAGCTAATCAGTGATTTGCTCAGTGTCTCTGATGTTTCACCAGGGGACACTGCTCACAGCAGTGCCCAAGCACAGAGAACAAGAGATCCAGGACCTAGGGTGAGAATGTGGCCCCACTCCCTTGGTCCACATGTCGAGGGGAGGACAGCAGCTTAGGCCTTTCTTTAAGTGGATAGAAATGGTTAATCAGATTTCTCCATCAGCCCAAGCACAAATACAGGATAGGAGAAACATGGCTTACACAGCAGCTTGTGTGAAAACAGTCTCAGGGGTTTTAGTTGATTATAAATACAATCCACAGTCAATGCTGGGACGTGGAATTGCAGAATGCGTTAGAAGAGGGAGTGTCCAGAACCAGGGCAGTAAAAGCCTCATTATAGCCTCCCCTGGTTCAACAACAAACCAAGATTTGTTGTTTAGTCATTTTCAGTCATATCCAATTCTTCATGACCCCATTTGGGATTTTCTTGGCAAAGATATTAGAGTGGTTTGCCATTTCTTCTCCAGCTCATTTTACAGTGAGGAAACTAAGGCAGATGGGGTTAAGTGACTTGCCTAGGGTCACACAGATAGTAAGTGTCTAAAGCTGGATTTGAACTCGAGTCTTCCTGATTCCAGGCAAGGCACTCTATCCATTGTGCCACCTAGCTGCCCTCAATATCTGAAGGTACTATCTGAAGGTAACTTTTATGAGATTAACAATCTGGAGTATGTACAGAGGAGGACAACCAGGATGGTGAGGGGATTGTGAGTCATGCCTTACATTGATTGACTAAAGGAACTAAAGATGTTTAGCCCAAAGACGAGGAGACTTGGGAGGGACATAGTAGCTGTTTTCATTCATCTGAAGAGCTGTTTCCAAAGGGCAGACTAAGAACAATGGAGTAGTAGAAGTTATAGAAAAGTACATTAAACCATAAGTTAAGGGGGAAAGTGTCTGCAATGGGTAGTGAGCTCCCCATCACCTGGTCATAGTCATGGCCATGGATCTACAGCTGGGAGGACTTTAGCGATCATCTAGTCCCACCCCATCATTTTACAAATGAGGAAACTGAGACCCAGAGAGCCTGAATTACTTGCCCAAAGTTACCTGAATAGAAAGAAACTGAACCAAAATTTAAAATCAGGATCCATGATTCTAAGTTCACAGAAATTTCTAAGCAAATTCTAAGTGACTACTAGGTGACTTCTCAGGGAAGTTGTAGCGGGAATTTCTGTTCAGACACACATTGGACTACGTAGCCTCTGAAAATCTGTGACAATTCCCACCGATAGCAATCCATATCCTCTTCCATCACACAAAGTGCCCTATGAGTCCGCCTAACAGTGGTGCTACTTGTCAGTGATGATATTTACTTCCAAACTGTGCTTTTCACCCAACAGACTAAGTTCCTCGGTGTTTACTTTGTCTCATCTGAAGAGTTCCTTGCCAACGCCTATGTGTTGGCTGTGCTGTTGTTTCTTGCCCTCCTGCTACAGAGGACATTTCTGCAAGCATCCTACTATGTTGCCATTGAAACTGGAATCAACCTAAGAGGAGCCATACAGGTATGGAAAGGCATTGGATGAGTGTGTGTTGATTTTCTCAATACATCCCTTCTCTTCACCTTGAACAATAATCCCAATTCAAAGTTCTGTAAGCATTTTAAAAGTTTTATAGAAAAAAAAAAGCATTTTCCTCCCAACAGCCCTGTGGGATAATCAGTATATTATTACCCCCAGTTTGAAGATGGGGAAGGACATGGTGAAAGAAATGGAACAGAGGCAGCTAGGTGGCACAGTGGATAGAGCACTGGCCCTGGATTCTGGAGGACCTGAGTTCAAATCCCACCTCAGACACATAACACTTACTAGCTATGTGACCCTGGGCAAGTCACTTAACCCCATTGCCTAGCTAAAGAAAAAAAGAAAAAGAAAAAAAAGAAAGAAGTAGAACAACTTGCCTGTGGTCACACAGCTAGTAAGAATTAGAGCCAATATTTTAACCCAAGCCTTCTGATTATAGGTCCTATGCTATTCGCTTTATGCCATGTGACTTCTCAGGGAAGGCTACAAGCTCTCCTAGTGATTCTCCGCCAGTCTTATTGCCACAGACCCTCCCAAAATATCTTCTGTTGTTGATTGAGTTTAATGGGTTTTTATTGCTATCTTTTGATTTTTCATTACCTAGAATTCCTCCCTCTCCCTGTCCAAGAAAACCATCTTTTGTTGGTGTTTTTTTTTTGTTTTTTTTTTTAGGCAATTGGGGTTAAGTGACTTGCCCAGGGTCACACAGCTATTAAGTGTCAAGTGTTTGGTCTGAGGCCGGATTTGAACTCGGGTCTTCCTGACTTCAGAGTCAGTGCTCTATCCACTGCACCACCTAACTGCCCCAAAACCATACTTTATAACAAAAAAACTTTTAAAGAGAAGAAAAAGAAAAGAAAAGATTCAGCAAAATCAATTTAAAAAAATCTGACCTAACATGCAGTGTTTAATACCTGTGGACTCTAATCTCTGTCAGGGAGTGAAGGGAATTGTCTTCTCATAGCTCTTCTTTGGGACCAAGCCCATTCTTTGTAATTTTGTAACAGTCAGTTTTGATTGTTTTTTGGTTGTTCTTTTCGCTTACATTTTTGTAGTCATCATGTATATTGTTTTCTTAGCTCTGCTTACTTCACTCTGCATCAGTTCATGTAAATCTTTCTATACTTCTCTGTATTCATCACATCCATCATTTCTTATAGCACAGTAATATTCCATTACATTCATGTACCACAATTTGTTTAGGCATTACCCAATTGATGGACATCTACTTTATCTCTAATTCTTTGCTACCACAAAAAGTGTTGCTATAAATCTTTCAGTATATATGGAATTTTTCTTTTTGACAACAATTTCCTTGGAGTATATGCCTTGCAAAGGAATCTCTGAGTCAAAAGATATGGGCATTTTGGTCACAGAATTCCAAATTGTTTTCCAGAATTGTTGCACCAGGGAACTGTGGAAAGTTGGCAGCTTGTCAGGACCTAGAGGAGCTCAGATTCCTGCCCCACCCCAACACCTAAGTGAAGCTCTAAAAACACACCAGAAATAACAATGATAAAGAAAATCAAAGAAAATTAGTTGCAAACTCCTTCTTCATTTAGTCCGTGACTGTACAGATTGTCAAACTCCTCTAAAAGTGTAGAGATAAACCGCTAGAGTAGGTAGAAGGTGAAGTGTAAAGGAGGCAGGGCCAGAGCATAACCTAGTGTAGGGATACCTAGGAAGCCCTGCCAAGTCAGGAGACAGAGCCAGACCAGCATTCAAGTAGCCCCAGCATCCAGGCAATCTAGTCTTGAGCCACAGCAGAAGACAAGGGTAGACAGTTCCTTCAGAAGGTAGAGCCTAAACTTAGAAGACACCAAACTTGGGATCAAACAAGGCCTGCCAATACCAGCCAGAAGTATGAGAGTAGGGTTTGACCCAAGCACAAGCCCCCAGTCTAAAAAGTAAGATTGGAAATATGAGTAAACAGAAGAAAAATGTTGAACAATAAGGAAATATCTTGGATTGAGAGAAACCCAAGGGAGTAAACCAGAAAAAACCCAAGGGAGTAAACCAGAGTACCTTCACAACATGGCCAAGTAGTGCATCAGAGAAGAGAATATCCCAACCACCTGGAAGAAATGAAACAAGAAATAGAAAATAGAAGAGCTAGGAAGGAAAGAATGGCAAGGAGAATTAATACCTTAGAAAAGACCTTACCCAGAATTGAATTCCCTGAAAATTAGAATGGACCAAAATGTAAATGACTCCATAAGATAAAGGGGATAGTTGTACTAACTCACATCTCCACCAACAATGCATTAGTGTGCCTCTTTCCACAGTCCCTCCAACATTGACTACTCATGATCTTTAGTCATCTTTGCCAGTTTTCTGAATGGGAGGTAAAGCCTCAGCATTTTCTAGATTTACATTTCTCTTATTAGTGGTTATTTGGAGTATTATATATGATTGTTAATGGAGAACTGTTTTGCTCATATCCTTTGATAATTTTCTACAGAAAAATAGCTTTTGTTATTGTTCAGTAGTGTCTTACTCTTTTGACCCTGTTTGGGGCTTTCTTGGCAAAGATGCTGGAGTGGTTTGCCATTTCCTTTTCCAGCTCATTTTACAGATGAGGAAACTGAGGCAGGCAGGGTTAAGTGACTTGCCATGGGTCACACAACTAAGACGTGTCAGAGGCTGGATTTGAACTCAGGTCTTCTTGATTCCAGGCAAAGCACTCTATCCACCATACCACCTAGTTGCCCCAGTTCTTTTGAGAACTGTATGTTCATATCTTTTGATAGTTTTCTACTGAAGAATATTTTTGGTCATGTTTATTTTTGTTATTTGTCTATGTATCTTGGTTGGTTTGATTGATTTTCATATTGGACTTTAAATGTGTTTTAAGGAATAACTTTTTTATTTTATTTTTTGGGGGGGCTAGGCAATGGGGTTAAGTGACTTGCCCAGGGTCACACAGCTAGTAAATGTTTTTATGTGTCTGAGGTCAGATTTGAACTCAGGTCTTCCTGAATCCAGGGCTGGTGCTGTATCCACTGTGCCACCTAGCTGCCCCAGGAATAACTTTTTTTTTAAAAAAAGCTTTTTACTCTCACTTTATCTGTTCTGGAATAAGAAAAAATTTGAAAGTAGTTGGAAATTCTATACGTTTGAAAAGGCTAGAACTGGAGGTTTCTAAGCGATGGAATTCCTACGCTCTTTGCTGGGCCACCCAACTCCTAGTATAGCTCTATTCTTAGGGCAATTGTGGAGGACTAGTATCAATGTTGTTCCTTTATACACCAGAGGAATATGGGAACTAGCCCATTAACGTCTCAGATGCTGGCAGAGTCAGTAGAACCCAGAAAGGTTGTTAGTAAATTCTAAATGCAACTAGGGAAAAAAAACCACTCAAGACCCATGGTGCTAACTGATTTCATGGACACAGGAGCTCGACACTGTTCTGGAAAGGTCTTTTGTGAAGAAATAAGGGTGTGACCAAGGCCATGGCCTTGTTAATCATGCTGACTGAATCTTTCCTTAAACTGAGCAAATATGAAGTAGATCTGGTATAGTGAGAAAAGCATCAGAATGAGAGGAATAGTAGGTAGAATGCCTAAAATGATGTCAGGGAAAAGATAGCTAAAAGGAAGTCAAACTCTGAGGAACTGATAAACCACTGAAACCATAAAATGAAACATCATGCCTCCTTCCTCTTGGGAGAGAGGCAGGGGAATAGGAGAGGAGGATGTTGCATGCATCATCAGAGTTGCTGTTTCACTTATTTTTGCTTAATTATTTTTTTCTTTGTCACAAGGGAGGGTTCAATTACCGGGTAGCAGAGTGGATGTATTCAGAAATTAAAGTTATGTCAAAATGAAGGAGGAAGCTGGGTGCAATGGATAGAGCACTGGGCCTATAGTCAAGAAGACTCGTCTTCCTGAGTTCAAATCCAGCCTCAGACACTTACTAGCTGTGTGAGCCTAGGCAAGTCACTTAACCCTGTTTGCCTCTGTTTCCTCATCTGTAAAATGAGCTGGAGAAGGAAATAGCAAACTACTATAGTATCTTTGCCCACAAAACCTGAAATGGGGTCACAAAGAGTTGGATGTGATTGAAATGACTGAATGACAGCAGCAAAAAAGAATCAATAAAATTTGCTTTAAAAAAAAAAGGCAACATTGAAAACATGACTTTCCTTGGCTATGTGTGGTCCCTGCATTTTCCCCCTTTCTCATTATGGAAGTGGGGTAAGAATCTGTCTTGTCTTTTATTTTGCTCTGCTGTTTAATTAAATGCCTTTTGCTTAGGAAAAAAAAACCATCAGGGAAGGATAGAGCAGGATCAGGGCTCCTCAGGAAGGCCTCGCTCACTAGGGCCACGTCAGTAATGGAAGAGTCATCATGGTCTTGAAGGGGAAGGACTATGTGATTATCACAGCCGTTGTGTGCTTTAAGATCCAGGCCTACACAGCCACCATTGACTTGCAGAAGGTTTTCCCCATCAATGACCCTTCTACCTTGCTGAGCTTACCATTCCCACAAAGACCAAGGCTCATTCAGGGGCTGAGTTTCTAATGAAATTTACATGAAAGGAAGGCTCAAAGAGTTGCCAGTTTAGAGCTCTATGTAAGGGACATTAGAACTCATCTAGTCTGACCCCCTCTGTCTACAGAGGAGGAATTTGAGACCTAAAGAGCTGAAGGGACTTAGGTCACACACGTGTTAAGTGGCAGAGACAGGTCTCAAATGCAATTTCTCTAAGTCAAAATTCATTCTTTCAACTGAACACACGTTTATCAAGTGCCAAACATTGTGCTAGATGTTGGGTATACAAAGAAGGAAATGATGCAGTCTCTGCCCCCAAAGAGCTCACATTCTTTTGAAATCCAAAGCTCAAATCCAGAAGTATTTTTTTCTGAACTACTAGGGATGACAAATCAAGCTTCATGTCCTAGTGGGCATAGTGACTAACTTTCTCAATAAGAAGCCATTTGGCAACTGTGACCTTGAACTAGTCATTGCTATATCCTAAGG